GAGTCCTTGGGACCAGGGGCCTGCAGGCCTGTGCGGCCAGCGATGGGCGGGCGGGTGGGTCTGCTGCCCCCAGGGCTCCATCGCCCCCCTACCCCCGGAGTTTCCTTGTGAGGCTGTGTCTGAGTCCCAGAAGGCTCTCAGGAAGCTCACTGCTAAAGCTCAGTATGAGAAGTGGACACTTCTTTGAGAAAATACTATCTCTGCTTACAACATTTGCCGCTCATGAGTTCCTCCAGGGGCAGGTCTGCCTACAGTTATAACTACTCAACTGTCAAAAGGCCACTTTTGCCCCAAAGTTTCCTGATGGCTCTACCCTCCCCTGCAGCCACACTGGTTTATTACATGTCATTGGCCATGACACTGCTGTTCTAAAACCATGTAAGCCACGCCCTTTTTAACAAAATATAAATGCACTGAAGGAAGAAAGAATTCCGCACTCACCCAGCACCCAGAAATAATGAGTATTAATAACTTAAGAAATGAAGATAGAGAAAAACAAATATCACATGATATCAATTATACGTGGAATCTAAAAAAACTTTACAAATGATCTCATTTACAAAACAGAAACAGACTCTCAGACAGAAAAAAATCCTTCGGGTTACCAAAAGGGGAGGGATAAATTAGAAGTTTGGGACGAGCAGTTACAAACTACTGTCTATACAATAGATAAACAACAAGCTCTTACTGTACAGCACAGGGAACTATATTCGATAGCTTATAATAACCTATAATGAAAAAGAATATGAAAAAGACTATATGCATGTATACCTGAAGTACCATGCTGTACCCCAGAAACAAACACAACATTGTAAATCGACTACACTACAACAGAAAAACCCTTCACTATAAAGAAGTATTCATATGCATAACTATGTGTCACATACTAGTATTTTATTCCAGATATGGTGACGTACTACTTTTCAGCTTGTGTTCAGCTCTTTAAAACACCTTGCATATCAGTAAGTGTAATTTAATTCTCTTTTTAAAGATATTTACAAGGTATACCATGCACTGTATGGATGTATCTTAATTTGTGTTTGTTTTACTAAACCTCCCTACTGGACTGGAGCTTGTGAAACTGCTGGGCCCACCCCTGTGCATTTTAAACTCTGCCAGCTCTCAGCGAGCCGGCCTCAGGGGACAGCGTGGGGTCATGCTCCCCAGCAAGTTGGGTGGAAAGGCTCTTGCACCAAATTTCGTTTCTTTCTTTCTTCTTCTCTTTGTTTTTTTTTTTTTTGGACATGGATCCTGGTCCAAGAAGTTTGAAAGTCTCTGCTCTATCCTCTGTCCCCAAAATTTAACAAGATGCTTCAGCCTAAGTGATTTTTTTAAATAGCCCTGAAGCACTGAAGTCAGGATTAAGAAATTATTATGATGCCTGCATATGAAAAGATTGCAAAACACCTGCTCCGAGTTTTGCAACGGTTTCCATGATGGAGAATTTCAAAACATCCATCTTCCTGTGGCTTAAACATCCAGCTTGGCCGCCCTGAGCTCCACGAGAAAACACTCCACCCTGATCACTAGATTCGGCCTTTCCCCTCCCCCCTACCCCAAGGACAAACTGAAAACAGAACAGAGCTGAAGGTGGTAGAAAGAACCCGGAGGAAAAAGCAGGGCTGGGCGGTGAGGAAGGTGGAGCTGCAGGCAAATGACGAGCCTGGGGCCTTCGAAGCAGGAGGAAGTATCACTTCCTCGCCAGCCTCCTCCTCTCTCCGGCCTCCGCGCTCCGCGACCCCGCTTCCCCGCGGAAAGCAGAAGTGGGCCTCACTCTCCAGACAGGCTCCTGCGGCAAGCCTCTGCACCGGCCTCGCCCCCGCGGGGGTTAACGTGTACCAGAAGGCACCCAGGAGGCCAGATGCCCAGCAGACCTCCCAGCTGCGGCCGGAGGCAGCGAGAATCCAGACCCAGCTCTCCAGCCCCTCCCGTGCTGTCACCAGAGGCTGGACCAACGGACAGAGGACGGGGAACTGGGCAGGACGGACAAGGAGCCAACCACCAGTGCGAAGCGGGGTCCGTCAAGAGGGTGATGGCAGAGGCCCACAGAAAGCGGGGCGTGTGGGCTGGCCCAGCAGTAGTTGACTTTGCCTCAAGTATGAACTGTGAAAAAGGTAATAAGACACACTTAGAGGCCCCCCGAGCACCACGAATGAGGACATCTTCCCTGTGCTCTACGAGCCATCAAGAGCAGAGCTCTGAGAAACACACGCTTAAACGGACTCTGGGAAGGTAGCCCCACCCGTGTAACTTGACAGAACCTCATGTGTGCGTCTTAGCATCGGGAAGAACGAACACAGTTACAGTGAGACTAACCAACGAGGGTTGGCTCCGATCACACCCGCTTGTGGCCTGAAGGCTCTGGGATGGAGGGGAAGACAGATTCAAATACGTGATGGTAACAAAGCACAGTTAGATAGCCAGCACTTTGGAAGAGTTCGACATAAACGAACTCTTCTGTCCTGGGTGTCTGGATAACTTTCAAGAAGTAGCTCTGCACTGAGCTCAGAGCAAGAGTGAGGAAGAAGCCCAAGAATAAAGGACGAAGGCCGGAGGAGGCCCCTGCAACTTGCCCACAGGGACGAGCCTTTCAAACACACCACCTCAAGTAAGCCCTCAACTTGCTATTCCAAATTACAAGAGACCCCTTCCAGCCAACCCGAGCCAAAGACACCTAAAAGAAGGCCCAAGTCTTTATAAACAAGTCTTTCCCCAAAATTCGAATCCCTCAATTGGCAGATTTCCATACTATTTTCTACACTTGGGCTTCTCCCTCAATGGGAACTTACTCAAAATCAATGTTAGAAATGATGAGAGAATGAACTCAGAGTTTCACAACTTAAGTATCAGGAAACTGGGCAGCTGTAAGAAATCTTTCAGTATTTCTGATCAACTTCCTCTTCCCTGTCCTCCCCATTACCAATCTTAAAACCCGGCAGGCCACGTCTGCGTAGCGTAGGCTGGGCTCCGGATGACCGCGCTGCGCGCGGCAGGGAATGGGCCACGCGTTTCCACGTCGCCTTATTTTATATTTTCGCCTCGAATGACACCTCTCACTGTTTCAACAACCACACAAGGAGGCTGGGAGGACTGATCAAGACACACTTCTAGCAGAGGCTGGAGGGCATCCCTTTGTAAAGTATTAGTGGGGCACATCTGTCCCAACCAATGAACACCAGTCGCTGGAGCTGCTCAGACAGCAGCCAGGAAGGTGTCACCTTGGCAGTCCTCAGAGCTCCCCTCCCCGAGCAGGAAGCAGAGCTGAAGGCATAGAAACTCAGCTGCCCAGTCCCGCCCCCGTGCCCCTGCTCCACGGTTCACTTAGCTCTCGTCAGCCACTAAGCTCAGGCAACTTCCAAGTGACAGAAGAAAACCACCTGTGATTCTCCGCCTTAAAAAGGTGTATTAAATGATACATTCATTTCTTTACTTTAAAGTAACTGAGTACCAGCCACAGGTCCAAAGGTAGACAACTGGGGAAGCTCTAAAGTTGGGGCCAGGAAACACACCTACTGTGCCCAACAGTGCCACTTCACTACTCATGCGACCTTGGACATGCCACAAACCTCTTTTTCGGCATCTGTCCCTGCCTACCTGGGAAGTTCATGAGAGGAGCAAATGAAATCAGAGTTCAGAAGGCTTCAGAGTCCTGGATAAGCAAAAGATGTCAGCACCATCCTGGCCAGATGAGCCCAAGAAAGGTCTCAGGCCATCTCTGCATTCAGTGTCCCAACTAAAGGCTGCAAAGACCTTTCAAGGTCAACACTATCTACGCCTGAGGACATGGAGGTCATTGCCACCAGCAGTGTGAGTGAGCTGCAACAGTGTCCCATGCAAAGGACAGACACACACTGTACTCCTATTTATATAGATTTAAAATTAATCTTGGCTTGTTTATGGAAAATAGGGTTTAATTTTGTTAAATTACAGCTCTATACATTCACTTGAATCAACTGGCATCTCCAATGTTTCGGTGTTTTTTTTTTGGTGGGGGCAGGCAATTAGGTTCATTTTTACTTATTTATTTAACGGAGGTACTGGGGATTGATCGTACCAGGATCGTCCGCACGCTAAGTACACTCTCTACCACTGAGCTGTACCCTCCCCCGGGGATTTATCTCTGAATACAAATATAATGAGACTAAAAGGCTTCGAAAGACATGAAATCACAAAACTGCTGAGACACTTTTCTGCTAAGAGAATGCCATGGTCGGGGGTGGGACACAGCTATCACAAGTTCTCTACCAACCATCCCAACACCAGGGAATCTCAGATGAAGCACGTCTTTTTGATGAAGGCTTTGCAGGCCCCATCCCACCACTCCAGATGCAGACTCCTCTCCCAGTGGCACAGCACAGTAACCAGTCCTGGGTGGAGATGCTCACTTACAACACGAGCACAGGGATAACCTGACAGTCAGGACAGGCCCTCCAACTTCCTTTTTCAGAAACCAGATAGAGAGGCCCATGGACTGCAGATGCCTTAGGGGCCAGCCCTGTGCTGTGCCTGGGCCTTGCCCAGGGCCAGGCTCAGGGCACACTTTGCTTCCTTCTTCCCAGCCATCTCGACCATGTGACAAGCACCAGGACTCGAGTTTTGGACAAGCCAGACAACGCTTTTTCACGTCCATTCGTTGTAGTGGTGAATACAGACCATAGTTGTGTGGACAAATCATAATATAACTCTAGTTACTGCTGTGATGGAAATGTTGGTAGAATTAATGGCCCAAGTAATTTATCCAAAATCACAGCTCTGGTAAATGGTGGAGGACCCCCAAACTCAGATTTTCTGGCTCCTCTTTTCTCCTTCTTTACATCCACTGCCCTCTTCCCTGAAGGGAACTCAGGAAGAGGATTACCCAACTCTGCACCCAAAGAGGCCCAGTCACCAAAAGCCTCTTGTGATCAAAATAAATTTCTTCAAGCCTCAAAATACTGACCTCCTTACTTCCAAATCAGAGCCAGGAACTACCAGCATCCCACTCTTCCAGCAGAGCTTACCTTATCAGGAAGGACTCTGACTACTCAGTAAATTCCTGTCTTCTTTCAGTGCCTCTTCCCCCTGCACTGCCTTAGGTGATGCTGGAGCGAGAACACCCTGCCCTCCTGAACCCTACGGACAGAGGGCGGCCAAGAAATCAGAATCATCCTCATTGGCTGGTACTTCGGGTGAGTCAGACTCCTGGGTCCTGCTCTGGGACAGCAAATCTCTGGTATATTTATTATGCAGATTTACTAGTAAGGTCAGGTGGCCAAATTAGACATGCAGCCTTGGGTTTAAAACCATCAAATTGCAAAGAAGCAGGGAGCCTCGTTTTCATGGAGAGAATTATTTGCAATAATAACAGCGCCGTTTATGGAATGCCCAGTATGTGCTTGGGGCTTTATAAGCAACACATATCTCAGAAGGTAGATACGTTCGGTTAGAAATGAGGAAAGTCCAACTCAGAGTTTCAGAGGCCCAAGTTCACACTTAGCTAGGGATTGGCGAAGCCTGGATTCAACCCGAGTTTCTGAGATGGCAAAGAAGTTGGGTGGACTGGGGGGAAATTAAGAGAGACAGAGGCAGACAGACAGACAGACAGACAGACACACACACACACACACCCACACACCACGACCACGCCCGCACTTAAAAGGAGT